GAACCCATATACTCATTCATGATCAAGGACACTAAAAAGCCTATAAATATCGGACAAGTGGCCCATACATGACCTGTAGAGTACCCGTACCCACAACCCCACGGGTTTACCTGTCAAAACGAGCCCAAGAACATCCAAATCGGTTAAGAATTGAGAGAGTTCTGCCTGAGTTCAACTGGTCATTACAAAATTGTGTAGTCTAAAAAGCAGACACTACACAGTTTTGTAGTCTAGAATTTCGGACATCAACGTATTCCGTGGGGGGTTGTCTGGTCCATGTCAAAATTACATCCGAAATTTTGGCCATTGTTGCACTAATACAAATCCGGATGTTTTTTCGGCCGCATTTTCGGATCAGTGACGTTCACCAAGTTAATCACAAATCCGGACATTTTTTCGGCCGTATTTTCGGGGCAATGACATTCAGTTAAATACAGATCCGGATGTTTTTTTGGCCGCATTTTCGGGTACTTGAAGTACTAAATTTCGGACATTGGAGCATTCTATGGGGGTTGTCTGGCCTTGTCAAAATTACATCCGAAATTTCGGACATTGGTGCAGTCTATGTGGATCATTATATCTGGATGGAAGTAACTTAAAAAATTTCGGACTTCAGAGCATTCCGCGGGGGGTTGTCTGGTCCGTGTAAAAATTACATCCGAAACTTCGGACATTGTTGCACTAATACAAATCCGGATGTTTTTTCGGCCGCATTTTCGGATCAGTGATGTTCACCAAGTTAATCACAAATCTGGACATTTTTTCGGCCGCATTTTCAGGGCAATGACATTCAGCATGTTAAATACAAATCCGGATGTTTTTTCGGCCGCATTTTCGGAGCAGTGACATTGACCAAGTCAACTACAACTCCGGACATTTTTTCCAGCCACATTTTCGGGGTTGACATTCAGCATCTTAAATACAAATCCGGATGTTTTTTCGGCCGCATTTTCGGAGCAGTGACATTAACTAAGTTAATCACAAATCCGGACATTTTTTCGGCCGCATTTTTGGAGCAATGGTATTCTGCATACTAGTGACAAATCCGGACCTTTCTTCAGCCGCATATTTGGGGCAGTGACATCCAACATGGCAACCACAAATCCGGACATTTTTTCAGTCGCATTTTCGGAGCACTTGCAGTCAGCATGTCAATGCTTCGGGTGATCTCTTGAACGCATGTGGCCCAACATTTGGCCATTCTGTAGATTATACTTTGGGTACCTATGGTACCATTGATTATGGCAATAACCACATCTGCAGAATATGCATTGGGCCACACATTAATACCATATGCTGTAAACATCCATTGGTCCCAGGTATGGATCCATAGTGTCCATGTGTATTGGGCCCATTGGGGTAGCCCTATGACTTATTGGGACAATTGTCAATTTCTATTGTTATGGTACTATAGCGACATCTATGTATACTTGTGCAAGAGCAAAAAGGCTTCGAAGAAAGTTTCACCACCAGGTGACGTATCCAGGGAGGGGGAGGTTCGACGTCGTTTGGTTAAGGGCAAACGTCCTGCACCAAGACCTTCAGCAGGCAATGACGAGTTGGGCGAGGCAGGCACGGAGTTTACGCGGATTCTACGTCGTTTGGTGGCAAGTAAGCCACCTCCACAGAGGCCTTCAGGAGACAGTGACGGATCAGGCGTAGGTGGTGCAACCGAAAGTCCCCATGCACGCCCTGTTGCTACTGCAAAGGCACTGGGAAAGAAACGCGCCGATCCCGCTGGCGAAGAAAAGCGAGGCCGTTACTCAGCTCACGAGTTAGATCAAGTCAAAGAGCTGTCCGACACCATTGTCGCGTACTGCA